ATGAAAATTCTAAGAAATGATAATGAAAAAGCGCAGGAGCCTAATGAAATATCCTAATGAAAATTCTAAGAAATGGTAATGAAAGTGCCAAGGAGCCTAATGAAATATCCTAATGAAAATTCTATGAAATGGTAATGAAAGTGCCAAGGAGCCTAATGAAATATCCTAATGAAAATTCTATGAAATGGTAATGAAAAAGCGAAGCAGCCTAATGAAATATCCTAATGAAAAGTCTCAGAAATGATAATGAAAGGGCCAAAGAGCCTAATGAAATATCCCCATGATATCTCATTATCCTTGCCTATAACTTATGAAAGATTCCAGTGACAAATTGAATGAAATAGATGGGCAATCCTAATGAGATGCCTTTCATAAAACCTGTGGCATTATACACAATGGCTCTTGGACAGTTGTCATAGATTAATCATAAATAGTGGTAGCCACTAGTGATGCATAGATCTTGCGTCACGCGTCCTCGTTTTCCTCCTCTTCGGTCAAGAACAAAACATCGCCTTCATCTTCAACGTGATGAATCATAAGGACTGGCCTCCACGTCGTAGGGTTCTAGCTCTTGCGTGTAGAAGACCTCTATTAGATGTGACCGACCTGGGACTTTGGCAAGTGGGGCTGAGCCGTTGGAGCGTATAGGCTGAAGTAATTCTGGAATCTGACGGCATCGAGGGGGGCTGGCATGAGAATGATTTTGAGGTCAGACCGCCTCTTGGCAACACCTTTCAACAGACCCATGAAAATATGTGATATGTAAGTCTGGATAGGCAACGAATTGCGGGATTCTAATAGAGTTGTGGTCAGACGAGGGCTTTAGCATGACGGGATTCATTATGCGCACTAGGTGTCGTCTTCCCCGATCCTGTCTCGCCGACTATTACGATGGCTTGGCTTTCGCCGTAATTTATGACACCAGGCCAGATTTGAGAAAGTCGACACAAACTTTTTGGAGGTTGACAATTTGATCTAGCCAGCTTTTTCTGAGCGTCTTTAGTCGATGTATGCTGGCTCCAAGGTCTGTATGGGGCGCTGCAGTAAGCAGAAAATGTTCGCGCGCAGCTACAGCGCTAGCCGGGGTTCATTCACCATTATAATGAGGACGGTTGATGTGCACCGTGGGAAAACTTATTACTTACGTTTGTCTACAAAAATTTAAAGTACTTGTGCTGTACATGTGCTATATATAAATATATATCATCATCTTTGCCATTTCTTAGCCTTGTCTTGACCCACCTCCAAGGAATTTGAAAGGGATGTGCACGGTGAGAGCCACAGCGTACTAAAATACTCGTTCTGGCCACCAATGATTTTAGGTTTTGCGTCGTGAAATACAGTGGTCTTTCGGCTATAGGACGTCGCTGAGACATACGTTCCGTCTGCAATATCAGTGACTGCGGTGGAACGGTCATAGAGTACGACGATGCGTCCGGAACGGTCTTTTCAAATGTGGAACTATATTGTCGAAGAAAATGCGATCGTGAATGAGGTTGCATTTGGACACGTCCAATGGCGCGGCGATGGTACAGGATTCGTTTGTGGGGCAGGGAGCTTGTGAGTGTCGTAGTGTTTCGTTTATATTAACATCTAATCCTTACGGTGCCCAGGGTCAGTGCTATGGTAATAGAGGGAACGATGAGTCAAGGGAGCAGACGAGAGCAAATGGTGTGTTATTCTTCCTCGACTCTACGCTACTTACCTGTGTTTCATAGCCAGCAAGAAGATACAGAGTATAGCGAACATATGAAGACTCTCAGAGGTCGTTTGTCTCACAGCAATGTGAATGAATACCCTCGCAGTTGAATAACAGTTCATAAAGAGCCGGAAGAGCCTAAACGTCTCTACGTGCTAGCGTGACACATTGACTTCCCGGATTTGCTTCAGGTACGTTTTCTCTGTTCACCCTCCACGACGTCTGAGCGGACACCAGGTCATGTCTTCGAAATTGCACGCTTTATCCTCAACTTCGACTTCGACTGCCCTCAACTCACTGAAATCATTTGCTCTCGTGGACCTCCCTTGTAAAGAAGGGGTGTTAACCCGCGCTCAACGATGCCATGCACCATTGCAACTGCCAGATGCTCGACAGCAGATGTGACAGATCTAGACGCCAAGCTTTGAGCAGCTTACCAGCGTCTCAACAGCGCCTTGAACCCATTCGACCGCGTCTCTCAGGCCCTCACAGACACCGACTTTTCTTGTTTTGTTCCATTCTCACTTTCACGAAAAACAACGAGGCTTATGAATGTCCATGTATCGTAGGAGTTACAACTTCGGGCTATGACCTTGCATGGAGATGAACTCACCGCGAGCTCCACCACACCGACATGTTTGCCGGCAACATATTTGGGAGCGTT